CGTGGTTGGAAACGATGGTTGATATGATTTCAGTCTTACATTTACTGAGATTGTTTTGTGACCTAATACGTGATCTGTCCTGGAGAATGTTTCACGTGATTTTAAAGCAATGTGTATTCTGTTGTTTTGGGATGGAACGTTCTATATATATCTGTTAAGTCTATCTGGTCTAATATGTTATGCAAAGACACTGTTTCCTTTTTAATTTTTTGCCTGGATGAAGTATCCACTAATGTAAGTGGGATGTTAAAAAGTCCCCTACTATCATTGTATTACTGTCAGTTTCTCCCTTTACATCTGTTAATATTTGCTTGTTAAGTGTTCCAATGGTGAGTACATAGATATTTACAATTGTTGTATCCCCTTGTTGGATTGATCCCTTTATTATTATGTAATGCCCTTCTTCGTCTCTTGTTACACTTTAATGTCTGTGTTGTCTGATATAAGTATTACTACCTAGGCTTTATTTCGCTTCCATTTGCATGGAATATCTTTTTCATCATTTCACTTTTAGTCTTCATGTGTCTTTAGGTCTGAAGTGAGTCTCTTGCAGGAAGCATATAGGTGGGGCTTGTTTTGTTATCCATTCTGTCACCCTTTGTATTGACTGGACCATTTAGATCATTTATATTTAAAGTAATTATTGATAGGTATTTACTTAATGCCCCTTTATTGTTTTCTGTTTGTTTTTGCAGTTCTTCTCTGTTCCTTTCTTCTGTTGCTCTCTTGTGATTGATGAGTTTCTTAATATTAGGCTTGGATTTCTTTCTCTCTTGTGTATCTGGTATAAGTTTTTGGTTGATGGTTACCATGAAGTTCATATATAACATCCTAAGTATTTAACAGTCTGTATTAACTTGATGGTCACTTAATTTCCAAGACATTGTAAAAGAACTTTATTTTTACTCCCCCTCTCTTCACCGTTTTTGTGTTTTCATGGTTTACAGCTTTTTATTTCACGAGTCCCCTTAACTAAATTTTAAAGATTTTATTTATCTTAGAGAACATGCGTGTGAGCAGTGGAGGAGCAGAGGGAAAGAGAGGGGGAAAGAATCTCCAGCAGACTCTGTGCTGAGTGTAGAGCCCACCATGGGGCTCAGTCTCTCAACCTTGAGATCATGACCTGAGCTGAAACCAGGAGTCAGATGCTTAACTGTCTGTGCCACCCAGGAGTGCCACACCCCCTTAACTATTTTTTTTAGAAATAATTGAATTTACTACTTTTGTCTTCTAACCTTCATACTAGCTTCATAAATAATTGTTCTATTACCTTTAGTGTATGTTTGCTTTTATTTGTGAAAGGTTTTCTTTTCCTAATTTTCTTTTTTTTTTTTTAAAAAGATTTATTTATTTATTTGACAGAGAGAGACACAGTGAGAGAGGGAACACAAGTAGGGGGAGTGGGAGAGGGAGAAGCAGGCTTCTCTGCCAAGCAGGGAGCCCGATGCAGGGCTCGATCCCAGGACCCCGGGATCACAACCCGAGCCGGGGCAGACGCTTAACGACTGAGCCACCCAGGTGCCCCTCCTAACTTTCTTCTAATTATGGCCTTTTCTTTTCCACTTAAAAGAGTCTCTTTAGAAAGTGACTTTTTCTCTGGGTGCTTTTAAGATTTTCTTTTTTTCGTTGATTTTTTTTTTTCCAGCAACTTATTTATGATATGCCTTGGTGTGGTACATGTATAACATCGATTAGGGCTTTTTATTGAGGACTTGTTATCAGGGGTTAATGGTTGACAGCTTGGAAAATTTTAGTCATTATTTCACTCTCTTTTTTTTCTGTTATTTCCTTTCAGTACTCTAGTTACACACAGTTGATCACATATTTTTCCATTGAGACTGTTTATTTTATTTTTTATGCTTCATTTTATATTTTAATGTTCTGTCTTAAAGTTTACCAGTCTTTATTTCTGTAGTGTTTAATATGCTGTTATTTCTGTCCAGTGAGAAATCTGTATTTTAGATAATGAATATGTCATGTCTGCAATTTCAATTTTATTCTTTTTTATACCTTTCATTTTTCCCATACTTTTGATTTCCATTAAATTCTTGTTCATAATTATCATTGTTCTAACATCTCTGTCCTTGTTCTGTTATCATTTCTGTCATTTCTGGATCTGTTTTATTGATTGTTTTTTTCTTGGTGTTTTCACATTTTCTTCCTGTCATCTCTAGTAATTTTTGATAGAATGTGGAACATTTTCAATGGTTACATTGTTGACTGTATGGATTTTGTTATCTTCCTTTTTTATAGAGTGACTGCTATTTAAGTTAGTTTGGGGTTCCTTTCATCCCTTTGGAGCATTCTGGGTTTTTTTGTTTTTTTCTTTAGCTTTACTTCAGTGCATCTAGGGTAGCTTTTACTCAAGGGACAGTTTATCCCTTCTATAAAGCTATGATCCTTCCTGGCTCTTCACTGAATACCCTAAATGATTACCAAGGACTTTTAACTTTGACTCCATGATTATGAACCTTGGGAATTGTTTAGGCGAAAACTCCCATTTCTTTTTTTAGTCTTGTGGAGATTTTTCCCTATGCATGTGTCTAGTGCTGAGGAAAAACTCAAAGGGACCCATGTGCAGATTTCCAGAGATTTTTCTCTTTATACGTTCTTTTTTTTTTTTTTTAATTTTATTTTTTCATTTATTTGAGAGAGAGTGAGGAAGTGAACATAAGCAGGAGGGAGGGGCAGAGGGAGAGGAGAGAGAGTCCCAAGCAGACTCCACACTGAGCATGGAGCCTGACAGGGGGCTCGATCTCACAACTCTATCATAACCTAAGCCAGAATCAAGAGTCAGATGCTTAACTGACTGAGCTACTTAGGCACCCCTTCTTTCTCATCAGAATTCTGCCCTGAACTTCCACTCACCCCAGCCTCCCTAAATTCTGATCTTACCTCTTCCATTTAGCAATTATGTTTTCCCTCTGTCACTGAATTTAGGTAAAATGCCTCCACTTGGAAACCTGGGTCAGTTGTAGGGATCACACTTCTCTCAAAGATCACAGTTGTGTACTACCTGTTGTTCAGTATTTGAGACCATTCTTTTTATTTTGTCCAGTTTTCTAATTTATGATTTTTGTCTGTATCTTATGAATTGATATTGGTACTTTCTTAATATTTCTTACTCTTTCATATTTATTTTTCTATAAGGAATATTAGAATCAGCTTGTTTTACTTTTAAAAATGTGTTTAAGGTTATGTGAAATGCATAGATTAATGTAGGGAGAACTAATATCTTTGGAATATTGAACCTCGATAGTCAAGTACAGTAGCACATACCTTTGTAATTTGTAATTTAACCAAGAGTTAGTATCTATCTATTGCTATTTTATTGTTTTTACTAAAAATATTTATTGTTTTTTCATGCCTTTTCCCTTTGTATGCAAGTAGTCATAGTTTTTTTTTAATCTATTAGTGTGGTGACCTATATGTATACCTTTTTCTAATATACAACCCATTTATAAATTTCTGGTATGAAACCTCAGTTGTATATTTTAGTTTGGATTTTTGTATAGATTCTTGGATTACTTTTGATTGTTTTAAAGATTTATTTTTTATTTATTAGATATAGGGAGGGAGGGACAGCGAGCGGGAGAGAAGGGGCGGAGGGAGCCAGAGAGGGAGAGAAGCAGACTCCCTGCGGAGTACAAAGCCTGAGCCCGAGATCATGACCTGAGCCAAAACCAGGAATCGGCTGCTTAACCGAGTGAGCCACCCAGGCTTTTGATTGTTCTAAAATTCAAATTCCTAGCTTTCATTTAGAATCCTTAAATATAACAGACTTTGAAAAATTTATGAAAAGAATTCTCAGAGTGCATGAGGTATATGCATCATTGTGGTAAGTAGGGAGACAACTTTTAGAACTATGACACTTATTTAAATGTACAGTTGACCCTTGAACTGTGCTGGGGTTTGGGGACATTGACCTCCGCATTGTTGAAAAACTGCATGTAACTTTTGACTTTCCCCAAATTGAACTACTGTATTTTTAATACATATATTTATTTTTCACCTCAGCCCCCCTACCCCACAAATGTGTTTTATATTGTGACTGAAAAGTAAGAAGTTGCCAAATGACAACAAGCAAAGGGAAGGTAGAGGAAAGACACGGGGTAGGCTGGAACAACAGGACTCTCACCTGCTTTTGGCCGTCCTCATCCCACTACGTGGGCATGAAGGTTAAGTTCACTGAAGTCTTGAACAGCTCTGGAGAGGGATTCTTGCTGAAGTGGCAGGGCCAGTTACTGGTCCTACTTGGCCAGGGATCACAGAATGATACCACATCACCAAAGGGTCTGGGGGAACCCCACAATGACAGGAAGAAGCCCGCAATGCAGAGCAGACAGCAGGGAGGGGTGCCATCTGCCATACTGAATGACCTCCAAGCAGATGAGCTAATATCCCAGGGATCTAGCAGCTCACAGCTTGCCAGCATGTCCTGTAAGCAGAAGCTGCCTTAGAACCAGGTAGGGAGTCAGTGGGTCATGCCAACCTAGAGAGATGGTAAAGGTGCTCTGCCTTCCCCTAGATGTTGCATAGAAGGACGTTTTCTACATTTCTGGGTAGTGGATAAGAGGTGTTACTCCAGGATCCAGTTTTGCTAACTTTAGGTGGGGGTGAGGAGACGTACGGTACCTCATTCTACTGTACTGTATTATATTTGTTGACCAAAATCCGTGTTTAAGTAGACCCCTGCAACTCAGACCCAGGTTGTGCAGCTGTATGTTTGTTTTTGTTTCAAAATAATTGTTAAGAGAATTATTTTATACTGTTCATCTTGCTTCTATCACAGGAATGTTTTTGACAAAGAGAAATAGGATTTTTTGTTGTTGGTGGTGAAATCTTGTGAAGAAAATGTGCTTGTGTTAATAAAATTCATGTTGAACCTGTTCTTCTATGGTCTAGATTTAGCAGAAAAAAAAATTTAATCACCTGTCTCCATATGCAACTGTCTCAATTCTCACTAATTCAGGTACATGAGGTGTTTTCTGTCTTTACAGGTTCAGTTTAACCTGCAGTTTACAAAACCAAATACATCACTAGGAGATGTTCAGTCAGGAACAACTATTAGTATGCCTTGCTCAACTGATAAGGAAAAGTAAGTACTTGTTGGCATAAAATTTAATGTTTGCAATTTTGAGTCATCTTAAATAATTTTTATCCGTTCTTGAAAGCTTTGATGCCCATTTGTGACATTTTAAGTTTCTGATCAGTGGGACTGAAGTGTTCCTTTTATCTTTAAGAAAGATTTCCCATGTTTTTTTAAACTGTAGTAGACAGTTATACAGTAATTTTATTTTTTAGGAGAGACTTTCCTACATAACTGAATTACCTTTCATCTGCTTTTGGGCAACTAGATAGAAATCTTTTTAACTCCCTTTAGTGTGGTCTTTGTTTTTGTTTTGGCTTTGTCTGCCTCCAGAAGCACTCCGTTTTTCTGAATTAATGCTTCCAGTGTAAAGTACTCTGAGAAGCCAGCTATTTTATTTTATTTATTTTATTTTATTTATAAAGATTAAAGATTTATTTATTTTAGAGAGAGCACGAGCATGAGCAAGGGGAGGGACAGAAGGAGAGGGAGAGAAGCTGACTGGGAAGGGTACTTTGGCTTATGGATGAATTACTTAAGAAACCACTGGAGAATATGGTTTGTTTTGAACAAAGCTATCAACAGATTATTTTATACATAGTATATGTATGTCTGTAGATTAAACCTTCAAAATTAACTTTTAAAGTGAAAATAAGGCTTTGTTAAGTAAATAATTACTATTTTCCTTTCAAGTGGTGCAAATTTAGGGCTGGAATCCAAATACCTGAAGAAAAGGGAAGATAGCATTCCTTTACGCGGGCTCAGCCAAAACCTGTTCAATAATCCAGGTGAGAGGACAGTTCTGAAATGGATTTTACACTGTGGTTTAATTGACTATATTTTACAGAGACCTAAGTGAATACAAATAATTTTTTTTTTTGTCCTCATTTGCAGACCGTCAAAAAGATGGCACTTTAGGAGCATTACAGACATCTTCCAAACCCGCAGTGCTCCCTTCTGCATCTTCAGCGTATTTCCCTGGACAGTTAACAAACAGTTAATGGTAGTGTTACTGTTTACTTTTTATTGAAATTTTAGAAATTCCCATGGTTTAAAAATATATGAACAGCATAGATCAAATCCTTCAGCCAGCAAGTTTACTTGAGCTTACTGTATTAGATTGTTTGGATCCTCTTTAAGTACTGCTGTCATTTCATGACAAGCTAGAGCAACCGGTTTGTACTTGGGGGATTCTGAGTGAAGATTCTCAGGAAATGACACCTTTTAGTTTGTGAACATGGTATTTTATAGAATAACAGTATGAATTTCATTAAATGAATCCTTAAGAAAGTTCTAAGGAAAGAGTTGATCCTTTTACAGGACATTCTAGTCATTGAGTATCTGGGTAAATGAAAACCTGCTCAGACATAATATGAAACCAAAAAATGTTAATAATTCATGTTACAATTTTCATTGGTAAAAGTTTTAAATTTGACACCTGAAAATCATGAGGGAAAATTATCTCCAAAGATATCTATATTATATTTACCATAAAGGGAAAAGTCTTAGAATTACCTTCAATGACTGAAATTAATCCTTCATAGCAAGTAAATATTTTCCTTGCAACATCTTTAAATTAGCTATTGAACAAGTCTAAGTAATTTTGATAAATTATAATTTGGACAATGTATTTATATAACCAGATTGGGTATAAAGTGCTTTTAATCATTTGAGCTGCAAAGTTTATAGGATTTTAATGCTTCCTGGAAAACTACATTTACCCAGTTTTTCTCTTTTGTTTGGAGTTTTATTAGTTTGTTATGCAGCTAAATCTGTATTAGTGGAATGTTTTAAAAATTAGTACTATACAAAATACTTTAAGAGCATCATGAATATTGTTTTTTTATAATATCAGAGTGGCTTCACCCAGTACAGAGTAGCATTCTCTTATGAAACGTATAAATCAATTTTTGTTTGCAAGGATTGCTAATGCTCATGTAATATTTATAAACTATTTTCAAGGACCTTACTACACAGATGAAAAGAGAATTCAATATTATTAATATCAGTATTATTGGGTTCACGGTAAGACAATCTAGTATTTGCTCGTATTTTTCTGAAGCCACAATACTGAGTCTTGTGATACTCTGAAACTGTGCTGGTAGTTGCAAACAGTCTTAACTAGGGGATTTATTCAAAAAAACTTAGTGACCATTATTGGGTAGTGACTTTTATATGTGACTTGTCATTTCAGTGTACTATATGAGTATTAGTAAGAATACTGGTTACAGTAACTTGAAAGCACTTACTAATAATAATCTGGAAAGTAGCCTCTTGGTGATACTAGAATCTTTCCTGTAAATATGATGTAACATATATATAAAACATTGTGACAGGGTTTGGATGGGACTTAGGACATACAGGTAGTTCTTTTTTATTTGAAATTGTTTTGCAGTGTACAGCTGTACATGTGTTAATCACAAGGTTGCACTTAATTTCTGTGAACTGTGAGCTTTGTTAATAAAGTATTTATGGAGTATGACGTGTATATAAAAACAAACAGCATTGATCTGCAACTGTTGACTATGCTTAGAATTTAAGTACTTCCGTTTAATATACGGACTAAGTTTTCATTTCTTTTGTCTTCCTACAGGAGTATGTTGTAGTGAGGGAGGAAAAAAAGGGGTTGAAGGGAAAAATGATGTAAAGCTTTGATTTGTTACTGTAAAAATGATTATGGTAACAAATAAAGCCAAAACAGATCTTACAGGGAATCACAGATCAAGACTTTCTTTTTAAAAAAAAATCATTAAAATATTTAATTTTATTAAGAGTATTTACATTTCTTTTAAGACCTTATTTAACCATAGTGAATGTTCCAAGTTTAAAAAGCATTGAGCAATAACCACAGACAAGATGAAAACAGTGTAAACTATACAATACTTTATGTACAATTTTTACAAAGTAACACTTTTTTAAATAATATAACTGGACACAAAAATATACACTTTAGAGAAATTCACATCAGTAATTGTATAAAGCTCTCTTCTAGGGTCCTGAAAATTTAGGACAAACATTAGCTCTGTAAATAAAGTGTTACCGTGACAGTCCTGAAAGGCCACTATATATATTTATCTACATATAGATATCACATTGACATTTTCAAGGCTACCAGCTTTACTATTTAATTTTTAGATTATGTATTCAAGTGTTGCGGTTCTTATGATTATGCAAACAAACATTAAAAGAATAGTGGTGTAAGTAGCTGGGGAACAAATCCGAGCCAGCGTTTAGATTTACAGACTCTACCCCAATTTAAATTCTAAATGGCTGATATTTTCTCATTTCAAAAACAGTGGTGAATGTGTAAAATAAAATTACTACAAACAAGCTTGAAACATGATTCAGATTTAGTACAATTTTCTTAGTTTTTTTTTTTAATGCAAACAATTCATTTACCATTTCTTTACTTTAGTGCATCTGCATTAAGGCTTTGAATTATTTGACCCAAGATTTTACAGTGTTAAAAACGAACAGGTCCATAACCGTACTACCTACTCTGTCTCGCTGTGAGTCAGCATAAATAGAGTTAAAGCTCAACACCTGAAGGAAATGGTAGCAGAGACGTTGCTAGTATCTAAGAAGGTACGTATATAGTTTTTAATTAAAGGATGTATAATAAAACAAAAAGCTTAGTGGCAAGAAATTGGTGCTAATAAACAAAAGGTTTCTTTTCAAAAGAAATTGTAACATCTTTGGAAAACTGTCTGGTTCTGGTTCTTTCTTTAGTTCCCACGGAGTTCATGCAGATACATTTCTTAAGACAATCTTAAAGTACATTGTAGATGGAAATGGAATGTACATCCAGAACTACAGGTGAAAACTAAGACCTGGGTGTGAGAGAAAAGTCTTCCTGATTTCGGTCATCACACATTTGTGTCCTGGAGCAAAGGTTCTTTGGCCTCTCCTGGCGCTTGTGTACTGTGAGGATGGCTGTGACTACCACAGTGCTTTCTCCAGCTGCTAGACCGTAAGCTCAAATTGGTGTGTTCTGGAATAAACAAGGCAACAAGCAGAGCCAGCAGTACCGAACAGGCTCCAAACAGGAAGGGGGGGCCAGGGATGATCGAATTCTGAGAAAGAAAAAGATAATTAGGGTTTTTGCGCCGTCATCTTTGCTCTAAAGAAACTGCTTATCTTTTAGTAATCCCAGATTGCTATGAATTATAAATCAAGGTCTTCTCTCTTTCTCCATCAGAGCTACAGTTAGAAAATGCATTTGCTTTTTAGGAGAAAAGGGACATGATCATACTCTCACTATAAAATTCTGAGGATAGTAACTGATCCAAGAAACAGAGCCAAAAGATTTTTTAAAAAACAGCCTATGCAGAAATAGATGGTCACTTGTAGCACAGAATCTGAACACATCCTATGAGCCTTCACCTCATTAGTTCAGCAGGAAGCTCTCAAAAGTAAAACTAGGTAGCATACGCCATTAACTACCGTAGCGGAATCAATGACCGTTTTCTTTGTTTAAAAAGGTAAATACATTCTCTAGTAACAAGTGAGGAAAACACAGCCAAGGCTGTTACCGTAAGAATCAAAAAGGCCTTTGTTTTAGCCCAAAGTTACATTCATCCTTAGCGAAAACTTGCACAGCCAGTGTAACCTGTGTATAGCCCCACAAACAAACATTTTTATTTAACAGTAGTCTTGGCGCTCTGCTAAACAAGCATGGAACTGATGAGCTGTTTGCATTGGCTAAAGGGATGATGTCTGCCGTTAGTATTTTCAGTTGTAAGGAGGGAAAGTACAGCAAACAAGTAAACAAAGATGTGAATCAGCACCTAGCTGCCGGTTGCTGCAGAAGGCAGGCCTCACCTGGGGGCCTGGTGCGTCACGCAAGACCCGGATGAAACAGACAGCAGTACACACGGGGGCTGTTACCCACGCCACAAGGTGTAATACCACACACTAGAATATTTCAGTAATTCTTAAATTCTCGAGGGAAAAGGTATGGACATCCAATTTCAAAAAGAGGTATACAGGGGAGCACAGCCCCTTTGGCTTTGGTTTTTAAGTGCTGTAATACTCTCACGTAAAAGCTTGGGTGACCAAAAACCATTTATCTTTCAATCCAGCCAAATGAACTGTATGTTTATCATGTGAATGAAGAATTACCTGTTCAAAGTGGTGCTGTGGGCTTGTGTTTGTTCCCAAGTCTGTTCCTGTCATTGGCAGTTCTTTAAGTTCCACATGGAATATGTAGAAAATGAATCCATAAAGAGCTGGTCCCAGACCATTGCACAATCCTCGAATTCCTGTTATCATTCCTTGAACAACACCTAAATTGTTTACACAAATTATGTAATGCACCGCTTATTTTTTTCCTGCCCTAGAACCAGTACAAACAGGAAGTCAATCTAAAACAAAAGCTCTCATCAGACACTAACAATTTACCAAGATGGCATTAAAAAGTACTTAGAAGCCTTCAGCTGTACAAAGTAAGCTATCTGATACAAATGTGAGATCAGGTAAACCCAACCCAGACATAGATTTAGTTTAAACAAGTGGTCAAAAGCACCTCATTTCCCTTTAAAACACCCCTGGCTAAAAATCAGACATGAGTTCACAAGCATAATTGTTAAAAAAGAAAAAACTGCCCCCAAGCAGCTACTTAAGACCCCAGTGAGTCAAATACAGAGTTTGAGTTTTGCTTTTCTCTGGGATCTTTTCTCAAATTTAAAATGCAATTTGCTTTGGCCACAGGCCTTTCCTTCCTCATTTATCAACCACATGTGCTGCCACTCTTTTGTAACACCCTTTTTTCCCCCTATGACTAGAGAAAACACATCCTTTTCAAAGAATTATGTTAGTGTTTCGAGAATTAAATGTTCCTATCACAAAAGCGTAAGATAATGTTTTCTAAGGTCTTTAGATAACTGAAACCTAAGATTTAAATAAAAGGGTTACTTAAACCCAAGGTGTCTAGCACATCATAGCAAACTTAAAAGTGGACATAAGGTGGCCAGCCTATCATTAGATTTTCTAGCAAAAGGAC